CGGTCTGAGGTAACTGGAGTAATCTGTAATCAAAACCAGGTCAGACTTTAAAAAAATTTTGATTTTCTCCTAAGCCTGAGTGCACTCTGTTTTTCAGTGGATCCAACTACCCTCAGAATCAAGGAGAATGCACAGGTGAGTTTACTGGAGGTTCAGAGGACACACAGAGCGGCAGCATGGTGCCTTCAGGCTCTTCTGCTCCTCCTGTTCCTCCCCCCGGATCACCCGTTCCCGTGGGTCACACCGCTGCACCACCGATGCCACAAAGCCCACCAGGGCAGCACCTGCCGCACGGATTTCCAATGCAGCCGCCGATCCCATCCAGTCAGCCGCCACCCTTCCATGGAAACCGACCTAATATCAACCCGCAGATGAATATACAGAGGCCTCCATTTCCCCCTATACCAGATCTAGAGATAACACCAAATCTCTTCCCCTTTCCATCTGCGGGTCAGAACCCAGTAGACTTCCTTAGCAGCTTCCTCCGAAACCAGACCATTGGTCAACAAGGAGGTGAGTCATATAAGCATATAATTAATAAGCTGTTCTTATAGGTTAACTGCCTTTTACTTGTTACTGACTTTGCAAAACTTTGTGTCTTTGTTTTTTTTTCAATTTGGTAGACCCTAGTCTGGCTTTCATACAGAACCTCCAGCAACAGATTGGTGCAGAGTCACAGTTGCAGTCTTTACCACCTGCAGTACAGAAAGCCATCCTTTTACACCTGACACAGCAGCAGCAACAACAAGAGTCAAATCCACAAGGGAGTGAAGCACAGAGAGCAGATGGCCAGGATGAAAATGCAAGCAGAGGCAAGCTTAATTAATTAAGATTAAATGAAACCCAGGGAGCAAGATTGGAACAAAGTGACCTACACAACTCAGAATTATCTAAATAAGTGCTTATACACAGATAACACCAAAAAGACTCTCCTTTAAACTCTCTACCTCTACTGGAGAAGCTAAAAAAAACATCCAGTTTTGGAGGACACTCCCTATCTCATTGATAGGACGAGTGAACTCAATAAGGATGGTCTTTCTCCTGCAATATCTGTATTTGGTCCAAAATATCCCAATTTTCCTGCCCATAGCTTTCTTCAAAAAGCTGGATGCAATTATTATGCCGTTTATATGGAACTACAAAACACATAGAATAAAAAAGAACATCTTTGCAAACACGGATCCCTTGGAGGACTGCCTTCCTTACTATGTTGGTGGAATATTACTTTCTCCTACTCCCTTGACAAGTGCATACTATAATTATAACCCATTGATCCATACCATTTTGCGAATTTGGAAACAAATAATTAAGCACTTTAAACTGAAACCATTATCAATGAGTATGTCTGTTACAGCTAACCCCTCTTTCCTTCCATCATGTGCAGACGGTGCTTTCAACGTGTGGCATGAACTGGGAATTTGTAAATTAAAAGACTTGTATTCAAACGATACCTTCATGTCATTTCAACAATGAAAAGATAGATTTGGACTACCGCGCAGCCATTTTTTTAGATATCTTCAACTACGAAATTATATCCGCACACATTTGCCGCAGTTTGAAAGCATGTCGTCTGACACCTTGGATAGATGCCTTAGTGATAGCCGGGGGTTCGAACAGAGAATCTGATTATTCTATAACTCACTACAGGAGATGAGTGTACCTTCAACTCATTCAATTAAAGAGGAGTGGGAAAAGGAATTTGGGATCTCCCTAGCGGAAGATTTTTGGCAGGAAGTCTTACGCAACATAAATACACTTTTTTATTAATTCCCGTCGTTGCTTAATTCAGTATAAAATTGTACACAGGTTACATTACTCAAGGGAAAGACTTCACAAAATTTATCCAGACTGCTCTCCCCTCTGAAAAAAATGTATGACACATTAGTAGTTTTGCACTTTGTCCAAGGCTTCAGGGTTTTTGGTGTGACATTTTTACTTATCTATCTAATATTCTTAAAAACAAGATTGATCCAAATCCAACAGTAATTATCTTTGGGATCTCCAAAGAAACACAAAGCTTACAACATGCTCAAAAAAGGTTTATGTCATATGCGCTGATCATTGCAAAGAAACTGATCCTGCAGCTTTGGAAAGGCCTGTGTTAAAGATGTGGCTTGCAGAGCTTACAAATACACTTCACCTTGAAAAAATAAGATATACCATGAATGGCAATGTGAAAGATTTTGAACTAATTTGGCGTCCTTTACTTGCATATCTTGGGAAAATATAAGTTTTTGGCAGTCGGGGGATCTTTTTGTTTTGTCTTGTTTTGTTTAGAGAAAAAGGGGGCACAAGTTCTATTAACTTGTAACAACTGTGATACTTGCTTCTAATAAAAGATATTTGAAACAGAAAAAAAAGACTCTCCTTTAAATCTGATTTATTTGTTTATTCATGTTTTTTTGCAGATGAAACTACAAACTGGTACTCGAGCGATGATGAGGATGGGAGCTGTGTTTCCTCCATTCTTAAATCTCTGAAGAGACAGAATGAGATGCAGCAGTCTCAGCCCAAGACCGCCCCGGTGGCTCCAGCACTGGGTGACCCCCGCCTCGTTAAGGAAAGGGCTCCACCCAGTGACCCACGTGTCAAGGCTGACCCTAGACAGCGACCCCCAGATATGAAAAAGGAGCCAGATGGCGCTTCGGATCCGCGGCTTTCCAGAGACCCCAGGAAAATGAGACCAGTGGAACCGAGCTCATATCGGCAGCAGAGCCATCCTGTTCATCAAAAGCCTCTTACAGGAGAGGAGGATGACGAAGGAGAGAGGGAACTCAGGGACAGGGCTGTTCTCATTCCTTTAGATGCCAGCCCAGGTGTGGTCCTGAGAGACCCTCGATGCCAGTTAAAGCAGTTTAGTCATATTCGTGTTGACATTCTGCTCCAGCGGCCTGCCTTTGCTCAGACAGTTGTGTGGGCCCCTGAGGATCTCATCCCCTCCTTAGTGCCCAAACAGGAACACTCCATCAACCTGCCTCTTCCACCTCTAATTGCTGATGCTCAGATGAACCGAACAAGCCTGCCCGACCACCCCCCAGTCTCCAGCCCTCCGCTATCTGATCCCAGACTTGCAGCTGCACGTTTGAAGGAACGTATGAGCCGACTGCCCACTGGTTCTCTAGAGTCACGATCTTCTACAGAGAGACCTGTAGACCCACGCCAGCAAAAGTCTTTGGACCCCAGACTCAAACGTACAGCCAGTCTGGACTCCAAGCTGCTGGGTCCGAAAGAGCAGTCCTCTGGGGCAGGACTTTTGGACCCCAGGTTACAGAAGGCCAGTGCCAGTCCCTCTCCTCACGCTGCCCGAGCCAAGCCAGAGCCAGAGAAACTTCCACCTTATGCTCCTCGACTGGCGTCCTCTGGTGGAGGGTTGGAGAGTCCCACTACGATCCTGGGAGGCATCAGCCTGTATGATCCTCGTTCCCAAACCGAGCAAGTTCAGAAGGAGCAGTTTGAGCCTCCTAAAAAGGCGGGGATTCTTAAACAGGCTGCTAAGAAAGACAGCACTCCAGCACCGTCACTATCACCAACCCAACGAAGCGGCTCGTTCGAAGAGGCTAAAAGCACAGATGCTGCAGATCACACTCCAGCTTCCACTTCTCCCACTGTGCCTCCTGCCTCGCCTGTCAAACCCCCTGCTGTACATAATCTCCCCATCCAGGCTCTGGCTGGGCTAATCCGACCCCAGTACACTGACCCGAGGCAAGCTAAACAGGGAGGACAGGGCTCTACGGGAGCACAGGAAGAAGCAGAGGACAAGAAGGAGCAGGAAGAGGAGGCGGCTCCAGAGAAAGAACCGAAACAAGAAGATCCAGAGGAGGAGGAAGAGGAGGAGGCAGATGACAGGACACTTAAAGATGTGTTCAAGACTTTTGACCCCACTGCTTCCCCTTTCTGTCAGTAAACACTCAACTGTTGATTGCAACAGATATGTTTGTTGATGACACATTAATCTTTATTTAGCTTTACATAAATCTATTTATTTCTTTATATGATGCTGTAGAAAACCAAACACTACGCCACACATTTATCAGTAAGGAGATGATGCTGGATACAGACACAGAGTATAGTTCCCTGTAACTATGTCATATTAAAGCTCAGAGGCGTGTTTTGAATGTGTGTATGGTAAGGTTTCTATTGTGTCATTTTTACACACGTTCTAAACAATCAGAGGAAATAAAAAGATGTGAAAGTTTTACTAAAGCCTGACCCAGGTGTTGTTAAGTCAGCTTGGGGCTCGTTCCATTGAACGACCTGATAGTCACTTTCCACGCAGAGAGATTATACTAAGTAATCAAAAACACAATAATTTCCCGCGGGGGGGATTTTTGTATTTACATATTTATTCACGGACACTTTCATATATTGAGATCTACTGTATATGTTGATGCCTGTCTTTATGATAAGGGATTTTTTTTAAACCATTTACATTTGTCATTTTTCAGTTGCTTATGCGTTCGGGTCAGATAATCAAAATTGAATATTTTCAATGTGAGTTTTCGATTAGATTAGTCTAATTTTCCCTTTTCACACTTTTGAAACTCTACACCTAAGCTAGCTTGCAGAAGTCTTTGCACTAAAATAGACAACTTCCGTCTTTAGTGACTACATTGTTTTTTGGTTCAGGCGGTCTGAATCTTTTGAGGATGTTTTAACCTTTTCTAACAAACATCGCTGCTCCTCACATCTCTCGAAGAAGCTTGTAAGTAGCAGGGAAAATGTTACGTGTTTTCCAACACGCTGTCAGTCAGCATAAGAAATCGATAAAGTTTTCCAGTGTATTATACAGAAAAGTAGTAGTATCTTAATAACACTGCAGTTGTATGTATATATGTTACAAATGTGACCTTGATGACTATTTTTACTGTTGAATTTTGTCGAATATGAACCTAAAAGAGGCTATAAATATACATGTGCTACAAAGACTGAAAGTTGTAGATGTAAGATATTGTTTGGTAATATTGGTTTGTTTAGGTCAGAGTTCTCCGTCTGTAATTTGAGGTATTCCTGTTTGACTGAAACGAAGCTATTTCCTTTTTTTTTTTTTAAAAGTTCTTTTCATGATTCACATTGTAAATGCTTATTTTGTATCATGTGTACAGTGTGTTTTGGGGTGTTTTTTATGTCAGCGTGGGTCGGTATGGTGGTTATGGTTGTCATAATATTGTCTGATATTTTTACAACACATGCCAGTCGTTTCAGTGAGTTTGTTACAAATATCTGGAATAAAGACAGGAAACAGCACCAGTTTTATTTCAGAACCAGACACCAGTGTTGCAATGTGTGCGTGCTGTGCATTTTTTTTTTAACCACCAGCTCTAATACAATTCATCCATCTGATTTCTCGGAGCAGGACACACAGCTTATGCATGAAACATTATTTTTATGCATTATTTTCTTCCTTTTCAAAATACAGTTGTAGCTGTCTTATACATTAACCTGTGGGGCAAGACTTGGGGCTAAAGGGTGCGCCGACGTCTTCCTCAGTCCCAGCTCATCTGTATCTGGGTTAGAGGTCTGCTGGGCTCGATGGATCTCCAGGTTTCTCTTCCACTGGAAACACAAAGCTGTAGCCTCTGCACCATCCGAATTTGGCTCAGGCTGCTTCAGACCCTGAAATCAGAGTGCAAGTGTTCAGTTTTAAGGAAGCAATTCATAGGGCATAATAAAAAGATGCCACTGAATCATATATTTGTAGTCCAGAGTTGCTGCTTGTGCTTGTGGTGTTGGATTTACTTTAATGCATGCTGTTTCTGCAGCTCGAACCCCACGTAAGACTGTCTGGAGCAGATTTTGTGCATTCTTTACCAGGATCTCATCAGAAGATTTGCACCCAGGAGTCACAGCATTGACACTTTGCAGGCAGAAGAAAATACTCATATCACCTTTCTTTTTTTTCCCCTTTCAACATTTCTTTTATTAGTTTTCGGTGTGTGATTTCTGCTTGAAATTTCCTGACCTGGAAATGATGCTGAGCTGATTTGTGATGGTGAGAATCTGCTCAACAATTAGCGAGAGTTCAACTGCACACTGCTTGTCGAGGCTGTGGTTGGCAATAACTCTGATAAACTGGGTAACTGACTGGCAGTTTGAGATCACATCTTTGGCTGCAGAAACAAAAGCCTCTTTATTCTAAAGAAAAAAGAAACAAAGATTGTAGATTAGTGTGCCTGCAAATCTAGTTGACGGTTGTGGAGGGACCTTTAGTGGGCATTACCGCTATTGGGCCTTTCTTCTTCAGATACTGAGTCATGTAACATACTGTGTCGGCCATCTTCCTGGTCACCTGGACTATTCTGTTGTCCTTGGGATCCCAGCTGTTGCTTTCTTGCTTTAGAAAAAGGGAGGTGTAGGTCAGGGAAGAGACTTCTTGGCACAAGCCAGATGCAGCACTATCCTGCAGAGAAGAATTAGGACATGGTTCATTGCGACATGATGGATTTATTACACAATAAAATCTGATCAATTATGCGATACTTACATCCTTTTTAGTATTTCCAGGTCCATATTTGGCCCCAGATGCCATATTTATGTTACTTTTTGCAGCATCTACATTTTCTTTAATGCCTTTCTGGTTTGAATATATTGTTGCGTCAGAGGTAAATTCCACTTCTTTGACTTTAGTTGGGATTTTAGCCAAAACTTTGCTAATATCCTCAGGTGCTCTCCCCTGTAGTCCAGCCTTTATGTACTCTTTAACCTCTTGGTGAATCCCTTCTTGCTTCCTGATCTCTTCCATCACGCAATGAGCTTTTGCTGACCAACAGCATATCTGCACATCCAGACTGAGTGTGTCACAAATGTAGTGAGTCTCTAGCATGAGCCTCGCCCTGCAGATTATATCTGAGATCTGAAAAGACAGGTGGTCATTAATGGACCTCAGATTGGAGCGAGTGCGCGGGTCATGGATGTAATTTAAGCTGTCCTCCACTCTTCTGGTAGCAGATTTTACATTTTCAATAAGCGTTTGTGCCGCATGTTCAAACCTTTGCTCTGCATCTTCTGTGTTGTTCTCTCTGAAGTGTTCAGCAGCGAAATGAGCAATTGTGAGAAGATTTTGAAATGTAGTATCATAGTCCTTATTCACTTTGCTTAAATGACCAAAAAGCACTCGAATTTTAATCAAAAGTTTTCTCTGGAAGAATTCCGATTTTGCAAGGTGCACCACGCCTGGCATTAAATCAAATTCTTCTGCAGCTTTAAGGTAGTCCTCAGTCAGGTTTTTCAGTTCATCCTGATATCCGGTTAACTCCTTTGATTTATAAGCACTTCTGCAGTTTATGCTTGTGAGCCTGGTTGCCTCTTGGATTCGGAGCGAGTTCTCAGACAACACTGAGAGCTGTTTCTGAGGGTTCAAATGGTTCAGTGCAGTCGATGTTCCCAAAATCTTATCCAGAGAATTAAGCAAAATCTGAATAGAGAGACTCCAGAGGGTGCAAAGTGCCTCTAGCTGATCTGACTGTCCTTCATATGCGGAGGAAAACTCTATCAGTTGCCTTGTGTTGTTCTGTGCTTTGGTAAGCTTGCTGTGTAAAACCCTCAATGTTTCTTGACCATCACTTTGTGTGGTTAAATCTGAAGATGTCAAGAGTTGGACCACGTCAGCACATAAAGTCATTGCTTCATTGAGTTGCTGTGCAGAACTGGCTGGTATATTTGGTAGATTCCCTTGCAGCTCATTATAAACAGTGTGATACCAGGTCCCAGCTGCTGGCAGCAAAACCTTTCGAATGTTATTAATAAGGTCAGAAAACTGTGTGCTGTGCTTAAAGATGCTCTCCGTGCTCATCGCTGAGCTCATCGCCGTCTCTTGAGCTGTCTGGACGAGCAGTGGAGTCAGGGATACCAGCTCGGCCCTAAAGATTTCCAAAGTCTGACAGTCAACTGCATCGACAATGACCAAGGCCTCCTTTGTAGCTTGGGCATAACAGTTTGACAGCTCAAGAACACTGGTGCAGGCCTGGTTGAGCAGTGTCACGTCTTTCCCTTTAGTCACAGTTACAACTTCATACAAGAGGGGTAAAAGGTCAAATTTGAGAGGCTTGAGAATCAGTTTAGGCTCATCTGAGACAGCTGGGAACGTTAAATCATCGCTGTCAACTTTATGGTCTGGTTCGGCTTTTATGGGTCCCTGATCTGTGTGCTTCTCCTCATGTTTGGTTTCTCTTTCCAAAACTTCAAAAAAAGGAATATCCGAGCCTCTTAACATATCGTCCACACTCAGTTCACAGCTGTCTTTGACTGGCAGACATGGCTGTGTGATTTCGAGCTGACAAGCCCCCTCTCGCAGCGGGCTCAGGAGATGCGGATGCTGTTGGCCATCCAATCCTGATCTAAGCACCTTAAAATGCTCAATGACGGTGGAAACGCTGTCACTAAATGTAGAATATGCCTCCACGTTCAGCGTGGATCCATTAAGCATGCTTCTGACTGACTCAGCTACTTTGGCTTGAGATGACTGAACCTGCTTCAGGAGGACCAAAAGGCCGTTCCTGTAGATGGGTTCGTCACTTCTATCCAAATGCCTCCTCACTGAGTGAATCGCCAGCTTCATGTGACCAATCAGGTTTGCTGCATGTTCATTAAACTGTTCATAGCTTTGTTCTCTGTACGCTGTGTCACATCCATGGCGATCACTCACCATCTCATTAACAGCTATACTGGTGAACTCCCTAATGTCCATCACATCACTGAAAGCATCCTGAAGCTGCTCAGTCTCCTCTTCCCATTTCTGACACACTTCACGAAGCTTCTGAGCAGTTTGCATTGAATTATCTGCCAGCTCCAGCGAAAGGGGAGCGATTCGAGCCCTGAGTCTCGAAAGGCATGCTCGGGAATTTTCCACATTCTCTAAACTCTTAGCATCGAGAGCCATAGCTGAGGTAAAATTGGCGACCTGGATTAGTCTGTCAGTGCAGGAAATTAAATCCTCAACTTCCGACTGAATAAAGTTCAGATCCAGCTTTGTAGAGGAATCTAAAAGCAAGATGTGTCCTAAAAGTTGCTCAGCTGTGGAGGAAGCCGCAAGAAGTGTGTCCATGACTTGATACAGAACTGTAGTCATCAAAGTTTTGTCAAGCATTAGTATTTGCTGGAGCAGGAAAGTGCAGGTCTCCTCAAAGCTCTGTGCAGAATCCTCAGAAGACTTTAAAATCCTTTTTATGTCAGACCAGAACTGCAGGATGTGACGACAGTGGAAAACCACTCTTTGCTGAAAGTCTCTGCGAGACATGTTTGCCACGACCATGCAATGAAACACAAGATCTCTGACCAAGCAGTCAAAGCTGCTGTCTCGGATTGAGGAGGTGGAAGGACTAGTGAGCAGTTCTAATAGACTGTTACTTTTCCAGGTATAATACCCACAAGGCCCCAGTGGTCCTCCGTGGCAGTCACTCTGGAGGGTTGCTGTAATGTCACCAACAGTATTCTGAACTTTGTCCAGAATGTACCTCTTGGCTTCTCGGGCTTGCTCATTGGTAGAGTGTTTGATGGTTGTACACATGGCTGTGTGCAGCATGGAGATGCACCTCCTCAGGGTGTCCAAGGAATCGAGGAGTTGTTTGGTTTGTCTGGGATCCCGTAAGGAATTTGCTCTCTCTATTGTCAGTCTGTTAAAGGCAAGAAGAGCCTCAGAAAACATTTGGAAAGATTTTAGAAGAGACTTGATATCTGAGGAGGAGCCAACTTCAGAGAGACACTCCAAAACCTGATCAGCAGCAACTATAACTTTCCTTACAGCAGCATCATCATCCACCAACAGAACCTAGGAGCAGAAGGCACAAGTCACTGTGTTACTGCTGCTCTACAGCTTACTGTACCTATTTAAGAAGTATGAAAATACGGTGTCAGACTGTCAGTAAATCAATAAGTTAAAAGATTTTGGCCATGATCGAAATATTTCAACAGCTTTGACAGAATACGACAAAATGTAAACACATCCATCTATAGGCTTTGGTGAGCCTCTTTGGTTTTATGCTGCATTTGGCTGAAAACCTTCAGTGAACTGTATGAACAGCTGCCCTTTGGATCGCCATGAAATTTGGTTTCTGAGCTTCCAAACTGTGATTCAGATTCAATGCTAAAATCGTTATAATGCTCGGAATTATATGTTGCTATGCCAGCTCAGACTTTGAAAGTGAAACAGAGGAGAAAGTTTCTACATTGTCATGAAATTACAGATAAAGTCAGTGAGTAGCTAACAGGAAAGAATTACTGTACTTAGAAATTAACGATGGAAAAAAAATGTTCTTTACACAACAGCACCAGAAGGCTAAAGATGATGGCTGAGTTGCTGAGATTCTCCACATGTGAATTAAAAACAGACGGTGTGGGAGTCTTCTGTTGTTTTTAAATAATGTCAACATTTAAGAAACCTCTGAGAAAGTAAAAGCAGATGTAGCTGCCTAAGATGAATCTAATGAAACCTTTAAGTGCTTTAACCTTATTTGTTTTCTCTCTGCTTTAATTTGGGTATAATTTTTAGGACAGTTGCAGACAGCTTTTTTTCCCCTTGTCTACTTTACCTTGACTATTCCGAGGAAAACGTTTTGTGTAGCAGTGACGAGCTCCTCTCTGTGTTCAGTTAAACTTGGCTGGATACTCAGTTTCTGAGCTGCCAGCAGGACATGCTGCCCACACACAGCGAATGACTCTAGCAGGGAGGACATCTCCATGTGAAAAACTTCATCCTCCGTCTCACGTATTTGCCTAGAAGTAAAGAGTCTGCTGTTCATCAGATACAAACACAATTCCAACCAAGCTGGGATGCTGTATAAACAGTAAATAAAAACAAAAGGCAATTATTTACAGAGCTCACAAACTCACATTTATTCATAATAGAAGACATAAAAAATAAAATGTTTAAGCTGAGACATGTTATGAAGGAATATGAGATTAGAGCTGTTCATGAATTATTAAATAATAATGAAATAAAATATTCATTTAACAAAGTATTTATGAAATAATTGTTAAGTCTTCACTAATAATTACACCTTACTAAATGATTTAATAGACAACAAAAGGTAAGTTAATAATTCTAAATGAATTATTAAGCCATCAATAAATACTTGAAATGGAAAAAGAATTTAATTAAAAGGAACAGTGGAAATGAGCCATCTGATTGGTTATAGAGAAGGGCTAGCCACCTGGATTTCTCTGTGTTTGGCCCAGTAGTACTGCTACTGCTAAGGAGAGCTTTAAAGGAAATCTTGGTGGTACACAAGGACATTTTAACTTGATCTTCACTTCCTTAAAATGTCTTAGATGATTAAATCAGGTATAAGAAGAATATGACGGGACCTTAAATGAAGCCCTAATCCTCCACTAGCCTCTTGAAGGTAATATGCTAACAACGCTAACACTAGCATCATTGCCCCACACTTTAACGCTAAAAACAAATCTGCTGCCTTCATTAAAAAAAAAAAACATAACAAAATAAAACAAATAAATAAAACAAAAATGACTCAAGTTGTCCAACCTTGTGTCTAAAGTCTAAAGTTGCAGTGCTGTGTTTGTAGAATACCCAGTATGAAGATTAGACTGGAGCAGATCTTTGAAGTCCTCATGTGGATTGTTAACACCTCCACCCAGTTCAAAAAGCCATTAACAGCTGCTATTTTCTGAGGTTCCCTCCTCCCTCTAAGAGTCACCAGAGGAGCCTGTGTTTCACTACCAGCAGACCAACATATTTATTTTCATTTTAATTGTTTTGTAATCACGCTTTTAAAAAACGAGTTAACACAAAAGACATTACTTTGTTGTTAAATGGTTTCTTCTTTAATTATGAAAGTGTTTAAATCACATAGCACGGTGTTTGTTGGGGTTAATTTGTCCACATTATTAGTCTACAAGTTGCTGCCTCTGCTATATTATTTTTATCCAAAGTTGGGAAACCCAGCCACTCTAAATCTGGCATTTTTACAAGATGAATTTAAGTGCTCAAATTAACTAAAATACATTTTCCCTTTTAAATAAACAAAACATATGCCTATTCATGTCACCAGCCTGTTGCCAGTTTATCTAATTAACTGTAAAATGTCCCTTGAGTACCACTTATTTTTCCAGTTTTGTTGCCTTCATCCCAGTTTTTTGAGACATGTTGCATCCATAAAATTCAAAATGAGCTAATGTTTTTCCTGAAATTGTACTTTTTCTCAGTTCAAACATTTAATTTGTGTTCTATGTTCTATTGTGAATAATGCCTGAGATTTGCAAATCTCTGCATTCTCTTAAGTATTCTAACTCTTCCCCTATTTGGGTTGTATTACACATTTCAGTTTCATACAGATTAAATAATTAAATTTGATTTTCCTATATCCTCCTGAGAGCCAGCTTATTCATTTAGATCCTGTGTAATGGACATTTGTCTATATCTCGTGACTTATTTGAGCTACCCTTCTAAGTCCTGATGTCCCCAATAGAGGACATCCTGGCCTTTCCATTGATATCTTATGTGTTTGGGTGGCCTCTTTTAGCTCCAAAGATGCAGGAAATTACAAGAAAAGGTTAAACTGAAAGATACTTCTTTCCTCTCTGCAGGCTATTGCTTCATTTGAAGTATTATACATTATGATTTTCATAACAGTACATACCTGGAAGCCACTGCTGCCATGTTCTCAGTAGCTTTAGCCACAGTCTGAGCTGCCCCCTCCAGCTGGCTGAATTGTTCAGGTTCCTCTGCGCTGTCACACAGCAACACCAGGCGGCATATATGAATTGCAATTGGTGCAACCACCTGCTCAACTGCTACAGTCCTGATCAACCCATGATCGAACAATGAGGACATAGTTAAGAGACTGATTCTCTCTGGTCAAAAGAAAGTGAATACCATAAATGTTGTTGTATTCCTGCTGTATTTAGCGTGGTAGCTTTTTTAATAATTGATTTGCTCACCACAGCAGCTTGTTCTTGACTTCAGTGTTTCATAGCAACTGGTGTCACCTGATCAACAGCACGCAGCTTCATCAAGCTTTAATGTATTGACTGATTAGTTACCATATTCTTTGAGATAATGCTTTGTTAGCAAACCTAAACCTTAATATACTATATGGTATTGAAGAGCCAGTATTGTTTATGTGACACTTCATCACAGGTGTGGTTGAACTTTTAAAGAGAGTTTTACAGTTTTCTGGCACATGGTCAGTGAAAATATAGTAGCAAATTATTAGGATCTTCAAGAAGATATGGGAAAACTCTTAGCAAAATAGAAAGAGGACATTAGAACATTGAATATTGTACATAACATGTTGTTTCTGACCAGGGTTCCTTTAAAATGCATTCACGTTATTTTCAGTGCTTAAGATATGAGCTAATTTGGATTTTTTTATACTTTCAGGTTAAATGGTAGTCTTTTCTAAAACTCATGATATTACACCATCATACTGTATCAATACATTTGTATAAAAAGTCATCAGCACCCAACGAATCCACTGTAGCCCTTTAAAATAAAGATAAAGTTTTGTAGCCCAAAAGAACAAAAAATCAATGATATTTAATTCCCAATGACACAAGATCAAAATATAAATATATATTTGCCATTTTGGGGATTTTAGCTTATCAGAATGGTCATTTTCTGTGGACTGGTTGTTATTTCAGCTCTAATAATCTAAGAACATCTACTTATAAATGTACTTAGTGTAAATGATCAGTGAAAAGTTTATTAAAATATATTTTTAACAGTATTTCCCCCCAAATAGCATTTTCTAAAAACCTGAACAAGCAGTTTTGTGTTTTTCCCCATTGTTGAATTTTGTTTGGTGTGACTGAAGAAAAGCTGCCAGCAGAGAGCACCATTCACCACAAATAAGCAGCAAACACTGGAGCCACGTTGATAACAAGAGACTTCATTCTAAAATTCATCAACAGATAAATATACAGCTGGAACATGATTTTAAACATCAAACGTACAGCACACTATAATGGAAATGATATTCAGTGACAGTAGTATACTCAGAACAAAACCCCAAATAACGATGCGATTAAAGGTGACAAACATAAAAACAAAGTATAATCATCACAGTTAAAAAAAAAGAAAAAAAAAGTCAAGTGTTGGTTTCTCTGCATTAATACATAGCAACGGTTTAACAGATGCAGAGGGAAGGCGTGGATGTGTACAGTATACGCTGTATTACCAGTGGAAGTAAATGGTGTCAGAAGATCTATACAGCACATTTTAGAGCGAAGCAATCATAGTGATCAATAAAGTGACGATAAAGTTTTAGTTCTTTGGCATTGCACGTTTAAATCTGACTGGTCTACTGAAGAAATTACCAAAAGGTACTTTATACTTATATACTGCATATCTATTTTAATGTAAATCTTATCACCCAATGCTGATTGTTAAAGCTTTTGACTCTTAAATTGAATCTTTTTTGGAGCATAATTAAAGTTTTGGGTTTTTTTTTAAGATTACATGAATTTATCTGTTTGTTCAGCTAGATAGGGTTGCAAATGTGCAAAGTACAGACACACAAAACTTTGCAGTTAACATCAAAACCAAGTTCAAAAATGGGTAGGGTATGACCTATGAGTACTGAGCAACAGGTGCCAGAAGCAGGGGGACCAAGGCACCAGCGATTCCCATATTACCACATTTTAATTTTCTCACTGTTTATATATTTGTGGGTAGCTTTAATACAGAATTTGCTAATGTCTTATTTCAATCACAATTAAATCTAGCATTTAAAAGAACCGACAAGCCTGTAGGGGGGAAAAAGGTTTAGCAGAGAGGAGCTGTGGGTTCGTATGGTGGCGGATTTTTCAGGGCACTGACATCCCTCAACCCTGGCTTAAAAGTAACTTTTCCCAGGAGCCCCAAAGAGCTTGTATACTGTATGTGTAGTGATTGAGTGCAGCATATTCTCACCTATTTTTAGGGCATTACTCATACCACGACAGTCTTTCATCTGGCTGTGGAGAGCAACAGTATCTCATATTTCACACTATAATCCAATGCCTGATAACATAACAGTAAACTTAAAAATGCTATGCTCCGGTAAAGTCTGAGAAGGTTTTGGAAATAAATCGTGATCAGGTATTTCAAGAACAATAGTAAATCCTTTTCTGCTGTATTTCAGTGAGAATTTACAAGACATTCAGCTAAACTATGTTCACTTGAGCCTGGGAGGTTTGGCCGTCCATTATAAAAGTCTCCTTGCATACCTGAGCAGTTTTTGCTCCTACCAAAAGCAGCTTTACATCAGATTTGCTTGACTATACATTCCACTTTCAAAACTCATGGTATTTTGAAACATTTTAAAGAATAAAGATTTAAGTTTAATCTATGAAATAATAGCTTTTGTATATTATCATCTACCAGCGAATCAGCTGAAAGCCAGACCAGAACAAAAGGAATGATCTTTTACCCATCTTTTGCATTTTAGGCATGGTTAACAATGGAAACATGAAAAAAGCGGTCATCATGAAGACAGAGAGAGCCCTCACAGTGTGTCACAAATGGAAACACTAGTGCATTGCGTTGGGACAGTGTGCGGGTACTGTAGCATAGAATTAGCTCTGGCTGATTAGAAATGTGAGGGGATGGGCAATCAGATGTGTAAAACAGATTTTCATCAGCCAGCAACAGTACAGAAAAGATACAATCTTTCACTCCCAGCATCTGGAATGAACTGAATATACAAATGATTCCAATCATGTACTCTACTGGACATATCTTTGGCACAAAAAGTAAATCTAAGGGGCCAAGGCATTCATTCTTATCAAACATCAGTGCTTTTAAGAAAACATACCGTAGATATAGTATGTTTATAATGGCATTCAAAACCCCAACTCTTTTCAAAGCTCACTTTTACACAATATGGCTTAAAGTATATGTATAAAAATAAATTTGCTATGTAACACAGCCCTGAGGGTTTTCTTGTCCACCAGTATTCATGCCGTCTCCACATCCCTGTACGGATGTGAGCCTCCATCAACAGCTCTGCTCTGCTGGCTGGGTGATACCTCCTTTGAGATTAGCTGAATTCCACAGCAAGTGTCCGCTGGCAAGCCACCTTGTCACCTCAGAAGCCTGTTTCCTGGACTCCCTCCCTCCTCCCCCCAAAAATATTAAGTCTCCAAAAAATATGGAGAATATTCTCCTCTTCCACATATGGAAGACTGAAGGGCCCAATGCCACAGGGGGCGGCTGGGCTGAGAGACCCTGTGCTATTGGATCTTTCGCAACCGAATCCCTAATCTCACTGGCTCCTCTGGGACTCCCATTGTAAGTCTCAGTGGTCCTTATCCATCCAGTCCCAGCTTTCATCACTGTCCTTTCTGTTCTTTTCAGCCTCAATGATCTCTCTGTAACGTCGACGGAAGAATCCCATCTGTCAAAGAGTGAGAGGAGTAAGAATTTAAGATAATAAGCTGCATCTGTGGTTGTATCTGACTTGCAAAAGAAAATATTCATTTCAGTCAGCAATTACAGATCACATTCACTTTACATTGCTGCATAACATTTTCAGACACATACCAGAACTTTTTAGCATATACCTTTTCTCTCCAGAGATTGTCATTTTTCAAGCAAAACATAACATAGGTAATTCATAGCTGTGACCTAGAGTTAAACCACTAGCTGATTTTATCGCTCCATATTAGCTTATCACGTACATATATTTTAGTACAGGCAAATATGTCTCAAATATATCTGTCATATCTGATACCCTTGCTTCCTCTCTGAGCAGAGAGGTGTGAAGATAACACTAATTTTTGTACTGTAAATACGTTTCCTGCTACTTTGACCTGCTAAGGCCGTTAAGCTAGGTATTATATTCTCCTGTGAAAGAAATATACCTGCTTAAGATACAATTTTACATTTCAGTTTTAACATGAAATAAATAAAAACATGTGTGTTAAAGTTGCTTTTAGATGACATGACGAGTGTCAGGTTAGCTTTTTCCTCTTGTTTTTAGTTTTTGCATTAAGCTCACGCTGCTGATATGTTAGCTTAGCGCAAAGTGTTGCTCAGTGTTGCTCTTTTTGTTAAAAAGGTAGTAACAGTTATATATTTGTTATGAATACATTTCAGGAATCTTTTTTTTTAAACACTAGCTAGTTATTTTGCAGCTGTTTTTCAGTATCACCCTAAAAAAAGTATTTTGGCTGTAGCAGGAGAGGTTTGTGAGTGTGGACGCATGACACTGAGACAAACTGCAGCAGCCTTTTTTTAATGCTAGAAAATCAGGATTTGCGCAACACCATTGTCTTGCTTATCTGCTGGATTTGGTTTGACATATTACGTAATAGCAATGCAATTCACTGGCTAACTCTCAGGAGTGTCATTGGATGGGTGGCCAATTGGACAATTTATTTAGAACGGCTCTTTCTTTGAGCAGCACTTTTACAGAAATTACATAATTTTTGTTAAGCTAACAACTCAGACCTTGAGTTCACTGTGATGGATTATATATCTAAGTTACATAAATGTGCAAGTTAATATTTTCTCCCACAGTGTAACAGATGGAAAATAATGAATCTATGAGGTGGGCAATTTATTTCAAATATAATGGATTGAAATATGGCCAACAGCAATGTAAGTAAAACCACATGAAACCACCACCAAGGTTTGACAAAACTCAAGCATTTACCTTACTGAAACATTTCTTTAGGAATGTAATACTGACTACCCATTTAAATTTCATGAAAGTATAAGATTCATTTACCAAGTGTAGTATGTATGAGATATGACAATGTGGTAAGACCAGTAGATTCTTGGTGTATATTTAATCAAAGCAGCCACACTGGCTTGCTGCCTCTCTCCCTACGACTCCATTCATTTATCTGTATTTGGCTGCTGAAGTTTATTGATACAGACCTGTGCTCTCCTCAGGCATTTCCTGAAGAGAGCAATACAGGACATGTGCCGCTCTTGTAAGTGGGGTTTATTTTGGCTGGGTCTGAGGAACTGGGGACC